CACACTGTTGAATATGGTCTTGAATTAAAGTCTTCATTCTTGGACAAAAAAAATAAGACTTAATTTTTTGATAAGTAGCCTGAATACCCGAATGCCCTCCTTGTGATGAATCATGTAGAGCCACAATAATATTCTGTCTCAACTCCCCTTTGCTCCCCACATAAATCTTGTTCTTGAAATACAACACCCCTTTTACTAACTTCCAATCTTGTATGATGTCTGGTTGAATAACCAGAATAGGAATTTTTTCTTGAGCTATAACATCATCTTCATAACTCTTTTCAATATCATTCATCCAAGTAGGAGTTATAATTGTGACTCCCATCTGTAAAAATTCACCAGAATCTGTCTGCTGTCTAGAGAGTGCTTCTGCTACCTTATTAGACTTACCCTTCCTGCACTGAATGGTATAATCCAACCCAAGCAACTTTGTAAGTCCTTTCTTCTGTATAGTTGTAGTTAACTTCTATTCTAGAAGATGTTTTAAAGGTTCATGGTCTGTCTTGATTACAAAAGAGCCACTCTCCAAATAATGTCTCCAATGTGAAACTGCCATCAAAATAGCTAAATATTCCTTCTCATAAATAGAAAGATCTGTATGCTTAGGACCCAAATCCCTACTCAAATAAGCTATAGGTCTTCCTGTTTGAGATAGAACAACCCCAATTCCTTTAGAACTAGCATCAGTTTCTAAAAAAAATTATGATCAAAATTTGGCAAAGCCAACACTAGGGGTGTATTCGGTTCGGTTCGGTTTTTTTACCAAAAATTGAACCGAACCGAAATAAACAGTTTTTCAATATTTAAACCGAAACCGAAACCGAATAGTTAAAAAACCGAAAAACCGAAACCGATTTTATCGGTTCAGTTCAGGTTTTTTAACGGTTCGGGTTTTTCGGTTCGGTTCGGTTTTTCGGTTTTTCAATGAAAAAATCACTTGAAACTATAATTGTTTTACAAAAATTGCCTATTCGGTTCAATATGGAACAAATGGGTTCCATATGGAAAACCTGAACCGAACCGAATCAAAAAAATAAAGCCTTTAAACCGAACTGAAAACCGAACCGTTTAAAGCCAAACCGAACCGAATCGAACCGTTTTACTCGGTTCGTGTCGGTTTTTCAGTTTTCTCGATTTCGTTGCTCAGCCCTAGCCAACACTGGAGCTTCACACATAACTCTTTTTAATTTTCAAAAGCCATTTTAGCCTCTGGGGACCAATGAAACCCTTCATTTTTCAACATTTTAGTCAAGGGTTTACTCAATTCTCCATACCCTTTAATAAATTTTCTGTAATACCCTGTTAAACCTAAAACTCCTCTCAAAGCTTTCAAATTTTTAGGTAAAGAAAAAAACATTTACTCTTTTTTGCATATAATCTATTATTCAGCAAAATTTCCAACACCACTCTTAGATGCTTCTTATGCTCTGCCATACTAGGACTGTAAATTAGAATATCATCAAAAAACACAAGAACAAATTTCCTTAAATATGCTCCAAACAGATCATTCATCAAAGCTTGAAAAGTAGCTGGAGCATTAGTAAGGCCAAAAGGCATAACTTTAAATTCATAATGCCCTTGATGAGTCCTAAAAGCAGTTTTGTGAATATCCTCTTCTTTAATTCTAATTTGCCAATAACCAGATCTCAAATCAATCTTTGAAAAGAAATTAGCCCCATGTAACTCATTCAATAAATCTTCCACTATAGGAATAAGAAATTTATTCTTAACTGTAGCAGAGTTAAGTTGCCTATAGTCCACACAAAACCTCCAAGTACCATCATTCTTTCTAATAAGTAAATAGGGAGAAGCAAAAGGACTTTTACTTACTTGTATGATAGAAGAGGATAAAATTTGAGCGATCTGCTTTTCAACTTCAGTTTTATGATGATGAGCAAACCTATAGGGTCTTAAATTAACTGGTGGTGTCCCCTGTTTAAGAATAATGGCATGGTCATGTTTTCTTTTAGGAGGCATTCCTTGTGGCTCCTCAAATACTTCTTGAAATTCCTATAATAAGTCTTGTAAAAATAGAGGAATCATACTGTCCTCAGCTTCAGCACTCAACAAATAAATTTCCCCACTCACTTCAGAATCTTTTTCAACTAATTTCTGAAACTTATCACCTGTAATAGGTCTTAGTACTGGTAACTTCTGAGTACCTTTTATCACCACAGTCTCCCATTCCTTCTCAAAACTAATGGTCTTTGCCTTAAAATCCATTAGTATAGGGTTAATTTCTTCCATCCAGTCCACCCCCAATACCATATCACTGCCTCCCAAAGATAATACTCTGAAATCTTGTTGAAATTCATAACTTTGCATCTTCCAGCTCATCCTATTACTTTTTACAGTACTAAAAAGTTTTTCACCATTAGCTACTGTTATAGCTAAGAGTTGAATCTGAACCACTTCCACCCATTCCTTGGCATCCTATTACTTTTTACAGTACTAAAAAGTTTTTCACCATTAGCTACTGTTATAGCTAAGAGTTGAATCTGAACCACTTCCACCCATTCCTTGGCCCATTTAGGTGTCACAAAACTGTGGGTGCTACCACTATCAATCAACACATTAATAGGTTTACCTCTGATAAAGCCTTGAATCCTCAAGGTAGTATGCCCCACATTTCCTGTAATGGCATTAATAGAAATTTCCAATGCTTCTTTTGCTATTTCATCCCCCTCATTTTGTTCACCTTCTATCATTTCCTGTTCAGCAGAGTCCTCTTCTTCTTCCATGCATTTCAACTGCCTGACTTTACATTGATGTCCTAGAACAAATTTTTCTCCACATTTAAAACACAAGTTATTGGCTCTTCTGTATTCCAATAAACTCTATTTGGTATTAGTAGTAGGAGGAGTTGTCTTAGGCAAAAATCCCTTATTCCCACTGCTCTGTTGAATATTTGAGGGATTATAAGAAAAAAATTTGTTAACAGATTTGTACTTCTTCCCTTCAATTTCATTAGCCAATTCATAAAATTTGCTGCCTGTAGCTTCAGATAAATTCTTGGGCTCTAACACCTTCACCTTATGCTTTAATTCCTCCTTGAGACCACTAATGAAACTGGAAACAAAATAAGCCTCCCCCAGATGCATGTTCTGTTGTAATAAATAAGGTCTTAGCTCTTCAAATTTTTCTTGATATTCTTCTACACCCCCCCTCTGCATAAACTTATTGAATTCTTTAATAATATCAAAATAATTTCTATCACAGAATCTGTGACACAAATCAGCCTCAAATTCATGCCATGTCACTCTATACTTCTGCATAATGTAACCATCAAACCAGGTCTCAGCCTTCCCCACTAAATACATAGCAGCTATTTTCAGTTTCTGCTCCTCTGATATTCCAAACAAATTAATTTTTTTTGAGATTTCCTAATCCAACCCCAAGGATTGTTACCATCAAACATTGGCAGCTCCAATTTTGGTCTAGGTAGTACAGAACTTGTGTTCCCAAAAGAATTCTTAAAATAGTTTCTATTGTGCACATGTTCATCTTCCCCCTTAATCTCACTAGAACTACCCATCCGATTTTCTTCTTGCAACCTTGGATTAACAGTTTGATGATCAGTAAACTCCATAGGTTTAGAGGCTAATATCCCTGGTTCATTAGGTTGAAAAGTATACTTTTCATGCTCACTAAGAACCGTAATCAAACATGGCTGTTTACCTCCATTTTTGTCCTGCTTCTCAGCTGTTGTTGTTTGATTCTTCACTGACTGAGGTGAATCTTTCTCCTCAGATTCTTGATTGACCAGCTGTAAGATCCTCTGCAAATACCCTCTGTTCTCAGTCATCCCATCCTCCAAGGTTTGTATCCTTCCCTCCAACTCTGCTTTCTGCTCACCCCACCAAGCTGGTAAGGTTTCTTTCTTCACTTCTACTGCTTGTTCCGGTATCTCAATGGTTCCCTTCTTTTGCATCTTTCTTGTCTTTCCCAGCGTGAAAAATGGATTTTTGGATCACAAAACTTAGCTCTGATTACCAATTGTTATGATTTAGGATAGAAGAATTTTTTAGGGATTTAAGAAATAGAAGAAAGAGGTACATAAAATGTGCTCATTCATTCATTAGATTATCCTCAAAAGATTCGGTACAGTTTTATATATTAACAGGTACCCTACAGCTGGCAGTACAACCAAATAACAAAATAACTAACTCCCTCATGACTCACCCATCTCAGCCCTTTCAACCCTCTGATTAATATTAGATTCGTAATACCCCAAATCCCACATGTGCCTGTAATATTAATTAATTTGGGTTTATTCCTTACCACGTGATCCCCCTTTCATCTCCACTTCAGCCCCAATCTCTTTAGGTAACTTCTCAATCCCTAATCTCTTCTCAATCCCTAGTTCCTTTCCATCCTCCCCCAATTGTTGTTGCTTCACTCCTAATTTTCTTCTTCGATATTTCCCCAAATCTATTTCTTCAAATCCTAACTCACCTTCCATCGTGACATATATTTCAATTTACTTTTGAAACGGTGCGTACCAACTAAATGCCCGAAATCCATTAACATATAGTAAGAAAGATGAACTAAACAATCTCAATGGTTAAAATGACGATTGTTATCTTTAAATGTCTTGAGTTCGAACAAAATATTTAAAAGGTCGTTTGAGTGTTTATTGGCAAATGATTGAGTCTTTTGAATAGATACAATTTGTAATCACCTCGGACCAATAAAAAATATAGTCAAAAAGAGTAGAAAAAACGCCAACAACCAGTTGATCTCATAGGATGAGATACTAAATCCCTTAAGTTAGGAGTTTGAATTCTGATGTCCGAGAAGAAACAAATTGAGTTGAGAGGATCGTTCTTATAATAAGCCTTTATAAAATCCAATCTAAAATTATCAAATAGATCGGATACCAATAGTTAAAAGAAATATGGAATCATCTGCAAAATCCCTTGAAGAAAAATAACTATAAACAAAGGAGTAAATGTAAATATGGGTGATTTCCATTGATGTAATTGATTCATCAATCTTGAAGAATGGAAACCCTGTCACATTACCAATTTAAGCATCATCATTCATTGACAGAAAATGCCTTTGACAGGAGCAAATATGATAACAATGTTGAACTTTTAACTACAGCAACAACAATTGATTATCCTAAACTAGACCTTGTCACTTCATATGCCAAGAAGCATGCTCCATTTGCAGGGATGCTTCGTGCCATGGCGGGGCCGAATCCCTTGTAAAGACCTTTCACTCCCTCTGAAGCTAAGATGGATTTAAAGGCATGTATGGAGCCTTTGTATTTGGGATTTTTGTAATCGTCTACTTGGATCACGCTCTTGACAACATCAGTTGGGTAGACAGAGCACCAGAATGAAGCTCCGGCCAAGCCTCCGGCTACAATCAAAGACCCTCTTCCCAGTTTCGAAGTGTCCATCCCTCCTGCCATGTACTGCTTCAATGCTTCATAGACACCAAACATTGCAGCATTTCCAGGAACCTCACGACCCAAGGTGGGAACCAAGCCCTTGAAGAGTCCCCTTGCACCACCTTCGGACCTCAGCACTTGCCTGGCTACATCCATTGGCCCTCCATACTTCACAGCCACACTAGCTGAGCCAGAATCCGCCATCAATGCACTCTGGGCTTGCAATCTGCTTACAACATAAGACCCCATAGTATGATTTAATACTTATCTCCATGCATCCAAGTTGAAAAAGAAAAGGAAAGGGTTAATTCCACCAAGAATCTTCAAACTATCAACATTTTCTAATTGAGTGTTCAAAGTGCCAGTATTTTATTACTCTGAGTCATTTCGCCAGCCAAATCGTGAGTTTAGACATTAAATGCCAATTTGGATTATGATGTAGACCACATTTAATAAAACCGAACAAATTGTAAACAAATGTATACATGTATAGGCAGCTTAGATGTGTTAAAAAAACTAAGGACTATTTCTTTTAGCACGATTATGCAGTAAGTACACACGTATTTATAATTGGATCTAATATGATTTAAATATGTTCAACTTTTAGATTTAAGTTGAAATTTAACACCCAAGCTAATTAAGCTGATCAAAGGACCTAATTGACACAATATTGACACTCTGAGGATTCGAATAGAGCATTCTGACTCCCGATCAATTCAGATTTCGGACCTTAACCTATAAAGCAATTAACCCAAAAAGGGAATATGAAAAGCCAATAAGCTGACCTGCATTTGATCAATTCAGTGGGGCAAGCCAAGAATGAGACAGCAGCTCCAGCCCCAGCCCCAGCAATGACCTGCTGGTTAACTGTGAGAGGGGAGCCGGGCTCTGATCTCAACAATGCCTCCATTTGCCCTCTCACCGTAAAGAGGACAGCATTCATGGCTGCCACAGTGGCTAGTGGAGCCCCCATACCTTTATACAAACCCTTGGGGCCTTCAGTAGCTAAAGTCTGCTTCACAGAATCCATAGCACCACCATACTTAGGTGCTTGACCGGGTAGTGGAGCAGGCTGGCTTTGAAGCTTCACCTTGATGGTATCAAAAGGGTGCCCAACAATCAACTGTGCTGCTCCTCCCACAGTTCCAGATGTTAGGTCCTTAGCTACATCTCCCATCTCTGCAAATGTTAAGCATTACTATAATTAAGTGGCATTGAATACATTAGAGGGAAAGGTGTTTCTCCTTTAATAATTGAATTAAAAACTCGATTACAAGACATCAACGGCAGTAATTCACAAACAAGGAGTGTAGCATCCACTTTTAGAACTTTGGGTTTTTATTAAAACGTACAATAAAATCAGCAAGTTCAATCGAAGTTAACAAACAAGGGGCAGTTACCTAAAAAAGGGAAGTGGAAAAGACAATAATATCATGGCAAATGGATGAAATTCAGGCATCACAGATTTAAAAGCCAGAAGTTGAACAACTGTAAGCAAAGTATATATGAAATACTACCTTTGTCTTACCTTAAAAATGCAACAAAATGAAACCGAATCGAATTTGATAGAGAGTTAAAAGTCCCAACCCTAGTTCTGAAATATGCTTCAAAAGCCACCTCAAAGTTCCTTCCTTTTGAACCAAGAAAGAGATGCAGAGCTGAATAATACAAGAAAGTGAGAGAGCATTTGGTGAGGCTTGTTTTAACTTTTTAAAGGGCTTGCAAGGGGTGATAGACTGATGGGAAATAATATAAAGGCATAAAAATGGAATCTCAGGGAGAAGAGGGTTGGTGGGTAGGTTGAACGAGTTGAAGACCGACAACTCTGGTGAAGAGACAATTTCACACGAAGGAACAGTAACGAACAGATTTGTGGTTTTGAGATGTGGACACTATTGCGGATATACAAGCAGAAGTATTTAATATATATAATATTTAATATTTTTGGTTAAATCGATTAAGTAACCGATTTTGAATAGAATTAATCGTCAACTGAATATTAAAAAAATCACTCTTCCATTGAACAAATTTGATAGCGGACCATTTTAACCGAATTAATTTGACCCTTATTCTTAATCAATTTTTTAACATTTCCCTTCATTTGAAAAAATTATTTTAATCTTTTAAAAAAATTAATCTTTGAACATTTTTAAAAAAAATTGAATCAATTAATATAAAAATAACGGAAATTTAATAATTTTTATTCTTTGAACATTTTTTAAAAAAATTGAATCAATTAATATAAAAATAACGGAACTTTAATAATTTTTATTTTTTTACAAATTTAAATATTTTTAAGTTTTTTTTAGTTTTTATAATTTTTTAATAATTTAAATTTTTATATGATTTTTATATTTTATCATTTTTAAAATATTTTTTAAAAATATTTTTAAAATTTTTACTTTTATATAAAAATAAAATAATGAATCATTGCATTAATAAAATAAAATATTTTTTTAAATTAATCACTGATATCCAATTTATTGACCGACTAATCCAGATCGGGTACTACAGAGGTAAGAGTGACCCTCCCAATCCAATTTGTTCTATTCATGAACGTCAATGTTTGAACCCCTAGACTTGCTTAAGAAATAAATTGTCTCATCTCATTAGATCAACTAATCGTTGATAATAAAATAAAATAATTGGTGTTTGTGTAATGACTTTAGTTGTTAGTCAATTGATTTAATTAATAAATTTAAGAGCTAAAAGACAAAAATATGATTCTACCCTTTTTGTTTTGGCTCCCATTGTAGGAAGTGGTTGGTGAATGGTGACTCGGTGCCCACTGTACAGCTGCGAAAGCAGTGCACACTCATTTAGCTAATGACACAAGAGATGCCTTCATTCTCTCCCAAAACATAGGGAAAATACCGATAATTGATTGGTTTGGTGAGATACCTTCTAAGCAAAATGATTTAAACGTTTAAGAATTCAGTAGATTGAGTTGGGAAGATCATCACGTAATAAATCCCCGTAAAATTTGATCCAAAATAGTTGATCAATAGATCGAATATTTATGATTAAATTAAATATATATATATGGGGAAATATATCGATGATTAAACCTTTAAGTCATCTTGAGCCAAGTTTCCTACATACAAATTCACGTAAAAAGCAACAGAAATAACTAAAACCCCAGTAAACAAACAGCAAACTTTGTGCAGTAGGCACCCTGTATGGAAATATTCATACAAACAGTTCACATGTCATATAATTGATGGGAGAACAATAACGATTCTTATTTAGTTCATATATAATCTACTGTATTCAGTCCTCTAATTCAGCGATGATGCTCGTAAAAACGTGATAGCCTTCACACATGTCCGAAAGAAGGCAGTACTCATTCTTGGCATGATACGTTGCCATTAAACCTGCACATATCAGTGTGAAAAAAGAAGCATTCTTAGATATTTCATGATCTCTTGCATTGTTCTCACATTAAAACACCATAACTAACTATGAAGCAACATTCTAAAGATTCTATTCAGTTGAATCCGGTTAATTCCAAAAGCAAAGAGAACAAGAGGCCCAAATGTTTGCAGTAATTCTCTATAGATAGCCCCAACTTCAATAGATATACACGACATGGCATCATATATAGATATTATTAACCCTTCATGCATCTAACTTCACTTGCCTGCAAACTGATTCACTTACCATGCAAATTGGGACTACAGTAACTGCAGGCTAGATAATCTGGCCGAGTGGATTACTTTGATAAGTATCAGCTATATGTACCTTAAAACGTTAACTTAATATACAGTAAAGTCTCACTATTTGCAATAGATTTTAAGAACTTAATTGCAAAATGCATAACGTGATAATGTTCTCATACCATAGCCAGCCGTTTGAACATCAAAACCTTCATCCTGACAGAATGAGCAAAAACAAGTAACTAATGACTGTTTCAAAGAAAGCCATGAACTATTAAACTATGTATGAATGTATCTCACTTTCAGCTCTCGAATGAGAGGCAGACTTCCAGTAATTGAGTAAGGCTTCACATGCCCAACTGCCTCTTTAGTAGCTTTGCACAATACGTGGAATCCACGAGAATCAAGATCACAAGCAACTCCAGACATTGCCTCATCAAAAGTCAAAGTAAGGCTGTAAACAGATTATAAAGTAAATGAAAAATTTAACTTTATCAAGAACAAGTTTGTTGTACAAAGAAAGCGAAAAGAGGGCATACCTTCCTCTAATGTTTTCATCATGGAGGATATACTTTGAAACTGGACCCCGTATGTCTAGCTTGCCTATATTTTCATTTATGTCATCTACATATTCTTGTAGCTTTTTCATTACATCATTTACACTGAGATAGAGTAGAAAAATTCTTAAAGAAGAAATACCAATTATCGATTTTGTTTGGGAAGGAATAAAAGATCTTCCACCAGCAAATAACTTGAAAGATGTAATTGAGTTTGAGGGTTACTTACTCGTAGAAAGGAGTTAACCTGCATCCCGGAAAAAGGTTGTAAGAACACATTTTATGACGAGAGACTCTATAAACATTCTGGAAAAGTAATAAACCTGACATCCCCTGATATTGTACACTCTCCAGGAATTTGATTGATTCCACCACCTGGATCTACACTAAAGAACTTCATTGATGAGCAACCTTTACTCTCAAGAATAACTTGCTAATCTACGGTTTAAAACTTACAACTCCATTGTGTTGGTTTCATGGTTGATGGTGTAGCAAATCCGTATACTTGCTCTTTCGGATGAGGAGGAAAGTCTTTATAAAACCGTAGTTGGATTTCTTTAAGTGCTTCCATGCCTAGCTCCAATGCATTTATAGCCTGCAGATAATTAACAACTTCAAGGTTAATGGAGAAAGGAAAAACATGAATATCCTTCCTATTTCTTGTAAAGAACCAAAAGATCAGTTTGCAAAAATTTGATAACTGCACACAAGTATTGCAGCGATATTCATATTCTCGAGGTAAAACAAACAATATTTTTCTATCAGAAAAACAATTAATCACCAACTATCTCAATAGGTAATATTAGGATATCTGTTTGTTTTTATAAAGAATGATTACATTTTAATTAGGCAAAATGTTATACCTTGTGTGCTAAACCGCTGTGAAAAAGCTTCCCCGTCACATGGAGTTTCCAGGGTATCATACCACCGGTACCAATGCAAGGTTGCTTATCAGCTGTATCAATCCAGAAACTGGGAAATCATATGAATTAGTATATGAGAAAGGACAAATAACGATAAGCTTTATTTTATAGCATAACTATCACATGTGAAACACGCTTTATACTACAAATACTCGTATTTCTCCTTTGAGATATCGAAATACTCACAGTGGACCTCCCTTCAGCTTATCAAGCAGACCAGCCTTCACTAGTGCGTCAACACCGACTCCAGTTATTGCTGAGTTCTCTTCATTGGCTATAAATACTGCAACAACAGTTGATTTTAACATTGGTTTTGTCTCAGCAAGTCTCTTCATTAGTTCAGTTACAAGGGCAACATGTCCCAAACAATCAGTAGTTCCCCGGCCACGAAGTTTGTCACCTTCAATGCTCAACGAGAAAGGATCAAAATCCTGCAAATGCAATTATCATATAGCGTAAACCATCAATCCATTTCAGTTCTAACATTCAAATTTTGGTATACAATATATAATATCAAAGTTCCTAGTGTAACAAACTGTAAATGACTTGAAATTAAGAAGGAAGAGCTAACGTTAACAAAATTGACACAGCCAAATATCCATAGAATTTAACAAAATCAAAACCCACCCAAACCCGATTACCATTATATACCGAATACAAACCAAACCCAGAAACTAAGAAATTCACCCCTGGAACGCAGAACAACCTTTCTTTTAGCAGACAAATTCGAACTTCAAACAAAACCCAAGTTTTGGATGATAAAAAAATGTAAACCTAAAATCAAATTTTGTAATAACATTGAAATAATAGATTCAAAAAAGAAAAAGGAAAGTGAGTACCCAATCATTAGGGTTAGCTGTGACAACATCCATATGCATACCAACAAAAGACAAGATTTTGCCAGGCTCAGTCCCAGGATATTCCACAATGAGATTGCCTCTTCCAGGGAAATAAGTAACATGGTTAATAACTAAAGGACCTCCCCCAGTTGCTGTGCTGTAAGGTTTGAGACAATCTAGTAAATGGTTCACCACCTTGTCTTCTTGTGGGATCAGTTCTGGAGGGTTGTTTTGAAGGAACTTGGATTCTCCTATGATCTTTGCTAGAAGTGAGACAAACGATTCCTTGTTTAGATCGCCCATGGCTTGTTTCACGTTCGAAGTTGCCATTGGAGACTTGAAGAAAACAGAGTAGATTTTGTGTTTCACAAGCTAAAATGTTACTCCTGATATAAAAATAGCTAAAATATATGGTAAACTGCATGTTTAGTACCTGTCACTCAACTATTTCTTTTTCCTAAAATCATATATAATATAATATTTTATTTTATTTTGATCATCAACAATTAAAAAATTAACAGAACTAATGTTGTGTTTTTGTTTATTTTTTAATAATAATATGACATTATTTTATGGTGACACATTAATACAAAAATGGATGTCCCTTGTTCCCATATGTAATGGGGTAAAGGGGAGGTAAGATAGTAGGCTGCCCCCAACACTAGGTTGAGAGCAGCTTCCGTAGGAGACCTCCAAATTATGAAATGCCCTTCATGAGACTTAATCCAACGACCTCAAGGTTAAGAACCTTGTGCTCTACCAACTGAGCTGGATGGTCATTTCAAATGGTGATACATTAATATTATCGTTAATTTATTAATGATGAGTGATCAAAATGAAATCAAAATTAAATATTAGTAATGATTTCAAATATCTTTTTTTTTTGTATTGGGAAATCCGATTGTGTGTAGGGGTGAGCAAAACTCGACTAGACTCGAAAATCGATTTTTTTGACTTGACTCGATTCGAAAAAAACTCGACTCAAATTGACTTCAAGTTGTAATTACATAAACTCGACTCGACTCAAAAAATATAAAGTTCAAATCGAGTTATAAAATACACTCGAATAACTCAAAATTTTTAGTAATTAGTGGATTGATTTTCAGGTGTGAGTTGAGTCCTTCGACTCTATATAATATATGTATATCACATATAAAAAATATGAAGAAATATATAAGTATTGTATATTGTTATAATAACCATTTAAATTAGAATTAAATAATATCATACTATTATAAATATTTACAATTAAATTTAAACAGAAACTTGCTCGACTCGAAAAACTTTCAAGTCAAATTCGAGTTATAAAATAGGAATCTTCAACTTGAATAATTTAAAATTTTTTTACTCGACTCGATCGAACGCTCACCCTTAATTGTGGGGAAAAAAGGTATTCCTTGAGCTAGAGGTTGATCCAATCCAAAATTTATAACCCCAAAACTGAATAGTTCATTGGCCTCAATGTTCTCCAAGCAATAAGACATGGGTCATAAATTCTTAATGTAAATTGAAAACTTGAATTTTAGAATTTAAGTTTGGTGTTTAAAGGTAGAGCATATTGAATAATAAAAAGTTTAAAGATGTAAAAATTATCATAACTTTTTTAAATTTATAGATTTGATAGATGTTTATACTAGTGATTTTGAAATCCCTAATATAAATATGGATTTAGTAAATTCATGTTTTTCAAATATATTTTAAATATGTTATTATTTGATATACCATCAGTGGAAAAATAATTTCACAAAGGATCTTAAAACAATGACAAGTGTACTTATAATTTTTTAACATATAAATAAATAAATAACTATAGCCCATGTTATAGTAAAGTCTATTGTGAAGTTATTATTTTTTTCAATTGTGGTATGTCAGATAATAATCTATAATGTATTGCTAAAAGAAAGTATAGACTGTATCGAATTTTAACTATCTACATCTATTGTATACATTACATTCTTAACAAATTAAATTTTAAATTAAATTTTTTTAACTGAAATATAATAAAATTTAAATTAAATTACGATCATATACAATTTGAATTTATTTTTTTAAATCAAATTAGATTCAGTCATTATCACACGGAATTTAAGCTAAATATGTCAAATTTCTTAACATTTGAGTTTGCGTTACGAAAGCTGCAATGGAGAGGGTAACCGATAGACCTAGAAAGATGAAAGAGATAGGTTGACTCTTTATGGACTTTGAACTAAGTCACCATAGGGATCGTGACATCTTCTCGAGCCAAGATATGATTAGATTATTCGTTACAATGTGATAATGTGATACTTGATCATTGTGTAAAAGGTATGAACCTATAATTTGTATTATTGTGCTATTGAATATTATAGTATCGTTATGAACTTTAGAAAATGAAAATGCAATTAGATTATGTATGTGTTTTCTAAAATGAATGGTAAATTTTGAGAGAAAATATAATGATACTTATTATGCTTAAATGGCTAATAATCTTACATTTATGATAATGTTGTGAATATTTATCAATATTAATATTATGATAAGGTATGTTTTATATTATTATCTACATGGGTGCTTGATGAATCATAACACTTTAATAGGTGAATGGAACTATGAAATATGCATTCATGTGATAAATACTCGTGAATAAGAAATATATAGTGCAAGAATATGTTGTTATGAATAAATAAAAATAGAGAAGTATACAATGAAATACTATGAATGAGAATACACGTGTAAGAAGACATAATATGATGTAAGTATGGTGTATGAGTAATAACTCATTAATAAAATGAAATGTGAGCCTTATGTGATTCATGATGTTTCGAGATATTCACTTATGTTTTGACAAGAATAATGATAAATATTGGCAATTTTAATGTTGATTGCCCAAGTAAGCTAGTAAGGATTATGGGATACGAATGACATGTTATTAAGGTCGTAGCAATACTGCATCATGGAACTTTGGTTCATCTAGGTGCTTTGCATATATCATATATTTTGTTTTAGTGATGATTCTTTGACGTTGAACTCGAAACTTATGTATGTATTAGGATTTTGTCCCATCTTATTGACCCATATATTCTACTACACTCTCGTTTCTTTTGGACTACTTGATAACTTCGCAATGAATAAAAGTGGTAAATTATTATTACATGTGATTTATCATAATTAATGTTATAGGTGTTATAAAATATCATGATTCTAAATCATTAAGTATATTATGTATGATGAAAACTTATTTATTGGCATGATATGAATTTTATGTTGTAATGTACCCTGTCATGATATGTGATACCATGTTAAACAAGCCTAGTTAGTAAGTTATAGTGTAAAGAAACATGCTTAAAAGTTAATGTGTATGAATATAGGAATTCAAACGTGAAATTGTATGTTAAATCATGATTAATGATAAGAAATGTCACTTAGTATGACTAGAGGCCCATTAGGTTTAAGAGAAAGAAATGTACTTAGTGTGATATATCATAATTGAATATAATGTATGACTTTGGTATGATTTTCCATGATTAGTTAAAAGAGAAAATAAGTATGCTCTAGTCTGTTGAGAAACTAAAATGAAATGTGTGATGTTTATGAGAGAATTAGAGGAATAGAGCGAAAAGAAAATAGGAAATAGAAACGGAGAAAGGATGAAGAAATTCAGTTTTCATTCAAAATATGCATATCCTTTTCTTTACAAGTACCCGTTTTATTTACATACATAGTACTAAGGAATCTAGCTAAGCCAGTTGGTTGTCCTTGCATAACTAATTTAGTTGTCATCATAGAAATTGGGATTCTTTTTGGGCTACCCGCTCACCACTCGGTTCTGCTGGCTGATGGGTTAATTCCTCCCATGCTCTTCACGTGCCCACTCATCAGGTAAGTAATCCCAAATTCAGTCTCAATCCCTAACCCTTGTATCTCTCTTTCCCCCAATTCATCTTCGATCTCTCGCCCTTCCTCTTCTATCTCTCGTCCTTCTTCTCCCACTGTGACAATACCCGCCTCATGAGACGATCCTTGTCCCCAAGGATCAAATGATGGAAACTACCCTCGGAGCACAGAGTAGTCTTCCCAAGTATCATTCATCTCATCTAGGTTAGTCCATCAAACCAACAACTGAGTTATAGGTTTATTGTGTAAATTAACAATTCTTCTGTCCAATATCTTGCATGGTTATACTTTGAACTGACCGTCTTCATCAACCACAGGAAGATCTGTTGAAGATTTTGCTGCTTCCCTAACATGTTTTTTAAGAGACTGACATGAAAGACTGGGTGCAGGCGCGATGTCTCTGGTAAGTTTAATTGGTATGCCACATCTCCAATTCTTTATGTAATTTTGTAAGGACCATAAAATCTGGCTGCTAATTTCAATTTTTTTTTCTCAGGGCAAGGGAAGTTAGTCTACAGTTGCAATTTCAGTTAAACTTCATCCCCACTACAAACACTCTTTCTGACCTTTTCTTATTTGCTTTCTGCTTCATACGATTGCCGACATGTTCTAATTGTAACTTAACCATTTGTCTGATTTCTTATCTGCTACGCATTAATTCCCCTATAGCCTGTACTCGAGTCTCTGTATACCATACCATTGTAGGAGGTTTGTAGCTATATAGAGCTTGAAAGGGTGTTAGTTTTATGATAGTGTGGTAGGTGGTATTGTACCACAACTCATCATGAGGCAACCATTTAGCCCATTGTTTTGGTTGAAAAAATAGAGGCCCCTTAGATACTGTTCTAAACACTGGTTTTCCTTTTCTGTCTGTCCATCAGTTTCAGGATGGTAAGTAGTGTTGAATAGGGTTTTAGTCCCCAATTGTTTCATTAGTTCTCTCCAAAAGAGGATAGTGAATGTCTTGTCACTGTTTGAAATGGCCATTTTAGGATGGCCATGAAGCGTATAGATATTATCCAAGTATAGTTTAGCTACATCAGCTGTAGAGTAAGGGTGTGATAGTGCCAAAAAATGGTTGTATTTAGTAAACTTTTCAACCACCACCAGAATACAATTTTTCCTCAATTATGTAGGTAAACCCTCTATAAAGTCCATAGTAATTACCTCCCAAGCCTGCTGAGGAACAGTCAGTGGTTGTAGTAGTCCTGGTTTAGCAACATGCTCCACTTTAATTTGTTGACACACTGCACAAGATCTTACATAAGTTACCACCATAGTTTTAAGCCTGGGCTAATAGAAATAAGATCTAATCCTTTGATAGGTAGCTTGGCTTCCAGAATGACCTTCATGAGGTGAATCATGTCGGGTTTGAAGAATCTGTAGTCTAAGAGACCCAACAGTGCCAATATAGACTCTATCCTTAAATCTAAGGATACCCTTTGAATATCTTCACTTAGAATCAACAGTAGGATTAACAGTTAAATTGGAAATCCATTCAATA